GGGCTGGGGAATTCTGGGAGTTGAAGTCCACCCATCTTAAAGTCGCTGAGGTTGAGAAATGCTGCTTCAGAGGCAGCTGTGCCTGTCCTTCTCCCCTAGGAAACCCTCACACCTTCCCTTTGGGCTTCCAGGTAGAGGTTAAAAGAGGCTCGATGCTTTCAGATTCTTTGGCACTCACATTCAGGCTCAGTCGTAAGAGTGCCCGGCGTTGCAGCTGGCATTGGTCCTCTGTGTAGTGCCACCTGTCATGGGGATGAAACCTAAACCTGGATTCAGATGGGAAGGAATCACTGCCCCCTCCAAGCTCCTTCTCTTAAGAAGCGGGAACTTATTCGGAGCAAGGACCCAACTGATTCCAGGCAAGCTGGTTGGCGCTGTGTGCCCACAGAGGGTACAGCCATGACCCAAAGGGACTGAGCTGTCCAGCTCTGGCGATGAATTTCTAAACATGTTCATCCCCAGACAAGTAGAAGGCCCTAAAGCATTGCAGTGGGTAGGTTCAAGATGTGTCTTGCATCCCCGAGGCTTCTGCAAAACTATTTCGGCCCAGATGTGGAACATGGTTTTTGTTGTCAGGTCATGGGCAAGCTCTTTGATGGATGGTAGTAGAAGAGGGAATTGTGGGGGCAAACATACAGAAAAAAAACCCCGTTTGCTGCTGTCTCCAACTGCAACAGCGGACATGGTTGGACTTCCAGATGCTGGTGAAATAGCACAGCCGATCAGGAAGGGTGTGGAGGGGACCAAATGGCAGATTGTTGGGGGGGCGGGGGTTTCCCCACATTTCTTTTTCCTACACCAAGAATAAATCCTCCCCCTATTCTCTTATGGAGGCAATGGGTCCCCTCAGCAAGAAGCCTTTGCATTATTCATTTTCATCCTGAATTCAGAGCTCTCGCTTTTTCTCTTGCCTTCACATCTGCAGATCTCTCTCTCCGACTCTCCTTTTATAAAGTAACCACCTAGCCTAAGGAGAGCTGTGATTTTCTTGCTGGGCATAGTCAGTCCTAAATATCAGAAACAAGGACGCGTTTGAGCCCTGTCTGGCCCGGGGAGCAGGGAACAATTTCTCAGGGTAGGGGCCCTTCATTTTGTTTAGGGCTTTAAAGGCCAGGCCAACACCTGGAATTGCACCCAGTGGGCAACTGCCAGCCAGAGCAAATCCTCCAGGAGAGATGGAAGATCCCAGAGGGTCCCGGAACCTTGCACTGGTCAGCAGCCCGGCTGCCACCTTCTGCCCCAGTTGCAATTTCAGGACCTGTTGCAAGGGGAGCCCCACATAAAGCACACTGCAGTAATCCGGGGGGCTGTAGCCAAGGTGTGGATAAGTGTTGCGAAGCCCCTCCGGCTCCACAAGCGCTTCAGTTGTAAATTTAGCGGTTTCTGATCTCCACCTCAGGGGAGGCTGTTCTTTCTGCTCCAGATCAGTTCTGCGCAGGACAGATGGGCAGAGAGAGAGTCTCACGCTCCTGAAATAAGCCACCCGGTAGAGGGTCTTTTCCCCATCCCCCCCAAATAATGACAGGCATTTGCACCCCTCTGAGACAGGCAGCAAAAGCAGCTTGGTGTCAGGACGCTCTGCATTGTTGTGGCATCTCATAAACTCTGTGTTGGCTTCTGTGAGTGTGCAGAGGGTGTCCGGAGGGTAGGTCAGCTCGGACATTGACAGACGTCCCAGAGATTAACCTGCCCATTCTGGAGAATTGCAGCAGTCGAGGGGGGCTGAAAAGTCGCCGATGGTCCTTCGACCTGCTCCAGAGCAGAACTGCGCTCGGCTCCCTCCCCTTCTCCGTCTCCTCCTCTGCCCTTTGGAAGAGAAGAGGGTTGCATTTCTAAAGGGCTTCCCTCCGGTGCCCCGGAGAAGCATCAACGTGGCGGAAGCGGAATTGCACGGGCTCTGGCGCACGCCACGTCAAGCGGGGCGGAGGGGCAACCCTCCTGCACCGCCTGCGTCTGACTCTCCCCCTTTGCGTCTCTCCTTGGACAGAAGTGTCTGCGGCTGAACCCCGATGTCCCCATCTGGACCTCCAAGCAGCGCATCCTCTGCACCTTGAACCACAGCCTGAAGGACGTGCTCAACTACGGCCTCTTCCAACCAGCCTTCAACGGCCGGGCGGGGAAGTTCCTGGACGAAGAGCGCCTGCTGAGGGAATACCCCCTGAATCCAGACACCCCGGTCCCTTACCTGGAGGTACTTACT